GTTTCGAGGCTATGAAAGAACTAAGAAATAAATAGAAATTAATGAGGAATTTTCTGATGAGAAATTATTATTAGCTACGATAATTCTGTGATAAGTTGATATTGTTAATTTTATCGTTAATAATATTTTACCTCATGATTTGAATAGCCAAAGAAAGAACAAGTTCATGCACGATGTTCGCTACTGTCATTGGGATGATCTCTACCACTTCAAACAATGTGATGACAATATGATAAGAAGATGTGTCCTCGAAAAAGAGTAAATAAAAGATCATATACCACTGCCATTTAACTTCAAGTGGAGGGCACTTTGGAAGAGAGATGACTACTGCAAAGGTCTTACAATCTGAGTTCTATTGGCCTACAATATGAGTTTTATTGGCCTACATTCTTCAAGGATACCCAAGATTTTTATAAATCTTGTGATAGAATCCAAAGGATGACGAACATATATGGAAGACACAAAATGCCATGCCAAATATACTGAAGGTGGAACTGTTAGATGTATAAGGCATTTTGATATATATTGGTGCTCTAATCGAACGTGACAAAAACTGTCATATCAATTCAGGATGTTTGATAGTTTGCATCCTTTCAACCCTCTCTGGTTTCTGCTATAACATTTTTTGTTTTGTTGTGTTTTGTTTATTTATTGTTTAATTTTAATATTAGTTTTTTTAGCAGAAAAGACTTCTAAACATGTTGATAAGGGTAAATCCCCTATGGATGTTACACCTGTTCAAGAAGAATATCCATTTGCTACTGGCACAAACGATGAGATAAATGATAATGTTCCTCTTCCATCTGCGCCACCACCAACTTCAACACCTACAAAGAAGTGTCGCTTATAGTGCACGTTCGAGCATATTTGGAACTTGTCTACCAATGTTTTTGACGATGCTGATGAAGACATGATACCCATTGCAACATTGAGAAGAAAATAATGTGCCAATAACATGGAAACCAAACAAATACCAACACCACCAAAATAGGACTTAGTCAAGGTAACTTGCATTGCATTTTATTTTAGTTTAGTTTTCATGCATTGAAGACAATGCTTTCTCCAAGTTTGAGGGAGGTAATGTTCTTAGTTGATCATTTGCATTTGTAGTTATTAACAGAACTTTGATATGGCATTTGTTTGCTTTAGAGACAATCTGCTTTGCATTGCTATGAAAAAAACTGTAGAAATATCAAAGGTAATAGAGCTCCATTGTGTTGTTGAAGCTCTAAGGGGATAAAGCTTGTTGGCCTTTAAGAGAAGTAACAACATTCTAGGTGGTTCAGAACACGACAGCTCATGAGTCTTCTTTCTCTTGTGTTGTTTTTTGTTGCTTGGGTTGTTATTCGAATGATTTAATGGATGTTTATTACCCAACCATGAACTAACTTAACTTGGTTTGGGTTTATCTTGGATGATTATGGTTTGGGTTTATAACTTAGATTTATAAGAGCTTTCGAGAGATAATTTTTATCTATGTTTGATGCTTAATATCAAGATAGTTAAGGTTAGATATACGTGGACAATGGGGTTGAGTTGGGAAGTAAAACCCTAACTCGCCTTAGATATAAAGATAAAGTTTCAACGACTAAAAGGAGTAAGGATTAATAGATAGTATCATGTCAGGGTTTATGCTGAGAGCTATTGCCTTAACATTTTCACTATAATTTTCTTACCAGATATAGCCTATAAACAACTTAGAAAAACTATGTCGAACATAGTATTAATTGGAAAATGTTAAATATTCGTTAAGAACATGACATAAGTTTCTAAGATAAACCCAGACTGTTATCTTTCTTGAGAGTTTCACACATGTATTGTTGTATCATTGTCTTATCTTGTACACCCATTTCTCAACTCAAAATTTTTCTACAACATTACTTTACTTTTTGTTATAACATTTCATACTCTTCTCATTTTGCTCAGCATTCACATCACCTTGTTCATATCATTATATACATTATTTGTTTATAGTTCAAGTGCAGATTCTTTACTTAATTTCCCTTTAATCCTTGTGGAGACGACCTCACCCATCATTTTATTACTTGTTCAACATGTATAATTGCACAATCTACATATCAAAATATAGTACACTTACACACGCAACAACCTACTCCATACATTGTTGTTATCCAATCTAGTAAGCGGATGGGAAACAAGAAAAGTATCAGATGTATCGAAAGGATACAGATAAAGCACATAATTAAAATCAATTTTAACAGATTCAGTCGTCGGAGCCATGAAAAAGGGAGAAAAAGGAAAATAGAAGAAACGAGGAAAGGATGACGAGAAAGAGACTTAGTGAACAGGATGAAAGCAATAAAAACAAGCCCAAGAGAAAAAAGCCCAAGAAACTGATACCTTATAAAGATATGAAAGAATACTTCTTATTTCATCATCACATGATTAATTTACACATGATTGGGTTTATATAAAATACAAACTAAACAGCTACCTACCTGCTGAAACGAATTTTTCTAACAACTAAATCAATCAACTAACTAACTCCAACATATAATGAATCTTTTTCGATTGTTATATATCAATTATATATTAATTTAAAGGAAACCAATTTCAAAAATATCAAATTTAAATATTAAATTGTATAACAACTTTTTTTAACTAGTAAGAAAAAGAACTTGTATCAAATTTTGCCAACTTTCTACGAGTAAAATTGTCCAAATATTTTTTGAAAAATAAAATTATTCCATATAAAATGTAAAAAGATATTAGTTTTATATATAATCATTGTTATAATACTTTATTGAAGATCACTTAATAATTTTATAAAGACGTACGAATCATCAAGCGGTTTCTCTCGAGTCTTGAGATGTATATATACTTGCAAATTAATAATGTTATAGTTCGAATGGTGTCGACTTCGAAACATCAAATAATGTTAAATCGTTCAGTAATTTAAACGTTTTTATAATGTACCGAAACAATGATCTTAGATGAAAAAAATATAAATATTTTAAAAATATTTATATAAGTAAATTCTTTTTTTCACTTACCTTATATAAGAAAATTTGACACCTGGATAGAATTTAGACGATTTTAACAAAATATCATTCGTACAAGTAATAATTACCTATCAGATATTCTTTCTTTTAATATTACCGATCTAACACTCTTTTTGACAAGGCACGGATCATCATCCGCACCTTCACGAGGTTTCGTCTGAGCTGTCGCCACGTAAGGGAATGCACATATCATCATTCGCGCCTTAGTTGAACCTTCGACATATACAGAAGGCGCATATCATAAAGCGCACCTTCCATAAGTACACATCATCCCTTAAATCATTTAAAAAAATATGCATTAAAAAATTAGAAAAATAAAATTATATGAACTAACATCATAATTTAATACATATTAGTTCCATGAGTTTAAGAACTTAGTGGGGTTAGCTTACATAGACATATTAGAGTGTTTATGTTATATTTCCTGACAAAATGGGATAAAAGTTAAAAGGTGTATTTTTTGACATTGTGTTTAGATTATGTTTCTATGATTTACTTTCAATCATTTTCATTACATTTTTATTTCAATTATATACATATAAATGTAATAAGAATTTTGATAAATTATTATTTGTTTAATTTTTAAGTTACCTTACATCAAACCAAAAAATAAAAGTGAAAAAATAATTGATTAATTATTTAATATTAGAAATTTATATTTAAAAATTTATATTTTTATCATTTAATATTTGAAATTTGAAATAACTCTTGAATGCGCTTGTCATCGGCCACGAGTCTCTCATAAATTGAGCCCACGTAGTGGAAATTTGAAAGAAAAGAATAATATTTGCGTTAAAAGAAAACAAAAGAGGGAGCATATCTTCTTATCCAATCCAATCCACTTCCTTTGCTTTTCTTTTTCCTTCCCCTCCCCCCCCCCCCCAGCACCCCACACCACCTTAAATAGCGGAAGAAAGAAGCAGATCATGTCAAAGATTCAAAATAAAAAAATGGGGCTGAGGATCGTGTACGGGGTGGTGTTCCTCTCCTTCTCCTGCGCCTGCTTCAAGCTTCTCCACCTCTTCCTTCACCCTATCTTCTTCTTCACTTCTTGATTCTTCTCTCTTCTCTTCATTATTATGGGTTGATAATGTGGGATTCTCTTTCTTCACATCCATTTGTTCTATGGTATCCCTCCTTATTATTCATGTATCGCTTGTCTTTAATCTGTTGTAATTCCTTTTTTTAAATTGTAATGATATATCTAGATACTGAAGTTCTCATCAATATTAGCAGAATTTTATGGATAGTTCAGCTTTCGAGATTTAATCAATAAAGCCTGTAGATGATTTATATATCATTTAAGTACAAAAGAAAGCATTTTGAATTTCCTCTATGAAAATAAAGAAGTGAGTAAACACTTCAAACGTAGTTACAGACAAGCCCATCAAGTGATTGGATTGGGGAGTTGGACTCTTGGTGGCTACAGATTTACCTATCATAACTTGATCGGTAATAGTAAAGCAGATGTCGAATTTCGAGATTTGTTCAGCACAATTCTGGATGAAGACATCTTTGGCACGACCTAAAGTAAAAAGGTATTCAGATTTTTCCAACATTCACCCAACTGGAATTGATCACATTACAACAGTCACCCGATTCAAACAGATGGGAGGAATAATTGCTTTCATAGTCTAATTATATTTTAGGTGCTATGAACCAAGTTATAATCAGGTGTTATGAACCAAATTATGCCTGCCAGCGACTATTAGGTGTTTGAACGTATATTCTCAAATAGTTATATAATCAGTTCTTTTATCCTTCCAGTTTGTTGAGATTCGAGAATGATAAGGTTAAAACAGAAAGTAAACAAGACTTTGTGAGTTGTTCCTTGAAGTCTATGTACAAAAATAGCAGTTTCATCGTTGCAAGACGGAAAACAGAACTGAAACTGAAACTGGTGACAGCAACATATAAAGCAAAAACAATTCCACCATTTTTTCTGTCCATCAATCAATTTCCAGCCATACAATCCTCATGGACCAATGTTCAGCTCGACGACGGCAATCATGGCTGCCGACCCGTTTCTTCTCTTCCTCCAGCGTCGGCGGCAGAAGCCCCAGGAGGAGCACCTCCATAGAGAGAGCCACTTTCGGGGAGGTTTGTGGCGGCGCGACAGCTGAGTGCGCGGCTATTTGTTGCTGCTGCCCTTTGACGATAGCCAACTTTTTAGTTCTGGCAATTTACAAAATCCCCGCGGGGCTATTTCGCCGTGCTCTCCACCGGATGCGACAGCGGAAGTTGCCGGAAAAGGGTTTGAATCAGCTGGGTTTTGAGATTCCGGCAGCGGATGGTGTGGAGGAATTTTTCCCAGGTGTGGAAGGTTGTGAAGAGACTGAGAAAGCCGCCAAGGAACTGGAAAAAGAGATGTGGCAAAAATTTTATGGGACTGGGTTTTGGAGAAGTCCTTCTCAAACCCACAATTAAATAACAACCCAATATCGTGATCTTGGATTTTCCCGAGAAACATGTATTTTCTTGGTTAACGTGATGAAGATTCAATGGCTCCTGAAAAATTTCCAAATATCCGACATGGCAACATTTTAGCCCATCCATTTTATTGGTTTATATGGACTTTACTCATTATGGATGGCCAGAACCAAATTTAAGATTGTATTTCGAGCTTAATCAAACATAAATAATATTGATATTATACATAATTTAACTTTACATATTGAGAACTTATTAAATGGTATTAACGGTCAGAGAAAGTGTTTTTCATTTTTAAAATTTCTTAAATTTAAATAACTATATTTATTGTTAGTAATTACCTGCAACGAATGGAAGCTTCTTGGAAAATTTGAACCGAAAATAGAGCTTTGGAGTTTATAGAATTTGGGCCCCCTGTTTTGTACAGAACATGGGCTCATAACCCTCTTTCATCAATGAAAGTTATTTTGATAAAAAAAAATCAAAAAATAATTTTACAATGATAAAATATTAATGATATCCAAGTATTTTTAGATATACAGTCATCTTCTACACAACATTTATTACACGAAATAATAATAATAATAATAATATCTGTATATATAAATATGCATGCATTAGTATTTCAAAATATATAAATTATTATAATATTATAACAAAATACGAGTTTGTAATGAATCATTTCTGGTGGTTACAGTAGGCATAAAAGATGAGGACAAAGACAGCAGCAGGCATGTATGAATCAATAATTGATTCTTCCAGCAACCATTTACCTTCATCTCACATTGTCTGTCAATAAAAACAAAGTTGTCCACATCACAAACAACTCACCATTCTTGGCCCTGTAATTCCTTAAAAGATCTGTATACTATTTTCCATTAAAATCTGCACATTTTATCTCCATCTCAGGCTCCAACTTGTGCAATGACTAATCCTCGAAGGAAAACATGGATTTCCCAAAATATCATCATCCCAACTAATGCTAGTTACAACTTGAAATCAAGCACCGGGTTACCAGCAAAGTTCGAGCAAATGTTCATGTCAGATGTGTTTAGGCAAACAATTTTGAGAGGAAGAGAATCATAGAAAGAACTTTCAGTTGAATTTAATGAAGGAAATAGGATTGCAATAACCTGTTGATTGATGCATATATAACTTATATAATGTGTATAATAACCTCCGACTCTGACTTGACAGGGCATTATATCGGCGTTGGCCAAACTTGGAATTGGCACGCCGTTCTGAGCAGGGTTTATTTCATCTGCTATAGCTACAGCTTCCTCGGATTGGGGAAGGTTGAATGGATCGTTCTGATTTTCTTCAGGCTTTCCCAACACAAGCATCCTGCACAAGGTTCTCTGCCTTCTTTGTTTTCGGTTTTGACTTTCCAAGCTTTTCTTCGGATTCGGTGGCCTCCTTGGATTGAAGCTTAGATTGGGGTTTCTTTAAATTCTTCTTGGATACAACAATATCTTCATTACCATTGTTTTGAGTTCTTTTGGTTGAACCGTTGCGTTCTTGGTTCAAGGATGGGCTAATACCAGAACCATCACCTTCTGAAGGGTTGTTTGTTGGAGCAGCGCCGCTCTTGTTCCTTCCGAGCTTTGGGGATATTGCACGCGTAGTTGGTATCTGTGACAATTACAGAAGATATCAGATAATTAGAGTATAGATGAGATACAACAATAAATTATAAAAGTCCATCAATGAGTACATTTGCCTATTATTCAGGTTATCTTCAAATGTCACTGCATGAAAATACTCTAGATTTGTAGTCATCTATTAGATAATTTCAAAAAGAAAATGCTTCATTTTTACCTTTGTGCACTAAATGTCTTGATCACCTTAGAATCCTAAAGCATTATTAACTTGAATCAAACACAAAGCCTTTAAAATCCCAGTAAACAGCCTGCAACATTTTAAGTATTTTCTTCACCTACAGCAGTTTCTATCTAGACACCATTCATTTTCTCAACCTTCAAAAGAAAACCAATAAATGATAGTTGAGAAAGTTTCAGTTCCTACTCGTTCACGGTATAGTAGTAAAACAATTCAAAGTTCACGGTATAGTGGTAAAACAATCCAAAGTTCACGGTATAGGATTCACAATTATCAGCATCATACCACAAAAAGAAATCATCAAACGATGTGATAAAATAATAGGCATATTCCAAGTATCCTAAGGCCAATGTGGCTTCAAACAGAAAAGGTGGCCATAGCAAAGAAGTTAAGATTTTCCCGACAGAAGAATACACGCCAGCATGACTATTAATGATGAAAAGAAGGGGGGGGGGGGGGAAACAAATTACCTTCTTTATTTCAACTTTTGGAGGAGGTTCTTTGTAGGAACTTGGTATTGGTGTAGCTTTAAAAGTCAATCTCTTCCTTAATTGTCTGATTTCTGCCTCCTGGTTCTGCTGCACGATGCAACAAACCTAAAAGTTAATGAAACGGCGAGATAGAACGGATTGAAGGAGAAAACTTGGAAAACATAACTACTTGATAGAGTAGAAAAATATGTTCATTCAAATAATAGTTATGAAGTCATCGCCAAGACCTTTGATTTTTCCTGAAGGTTATTCTTTTCAAGTTCCTTAGCATGGATCTTCTCTTCTAACTTTGAAAGAAACTGGAGGAAAAGTGCATGAACAATCATTTATAAAATGAATGTAATTAAGGCTACCGGAAAGTATCAGATTGAAGCATATTCCCAACCTCCTTCCGCTTTTCCGCACGTTCCTCCAGCCTAAAAGTGAATCCTGACCCACTGCTCCTCCTAGTGCTACGAGAACTGGCACTGGAAATAATCATGACGAAAAATCAGACATCAATAAAAAGAGAGTGATTCATAAAAGTGTTTGCTTAGCAAAAGGAAGTTAAAAGTAATGACAGTACTAACTAGTGGAATGAGCATCATCATCCTCTTTTCTCAGTGCTGCAGCTGTTATTGGCTTGGAATCAGCTGATCTGCAAACATACAGGATTTTCTCACACTATAAATAAATAAGCAGAATTGAACTTTTGAGTTATATATAATTATACAGGAACAAAGAGATCTATTCCGCATCCAAATTTCGAGCAAATTTACCATGAATATAAATGCATTATAAGTATACAACCTAAGTAGAAGAGGTTAAGCAGCGTGCATCTCAGTGATGATATGGTAACCAAGACTTAGACGATGAAGAGGGCTTAGAAGCCACATTACAAGGACCGGATTTCGCAGGCTGATAAGCAAACACAAAGATGAAACCAAAAGAGCCATTTAGAAAACCAAAAAGTGGAAAGGAAAATAGAAACTGATGATATCACAAATTCATACCCCAGCTTGCTTATTGCTAGGCAAAGACGCTAAAGTAGTCCTTCTAGAAGTAGCTCCACCGCCATTCGCGTTCTTTGAGTCGACATGGATGGATCCCCGCCTGTTGGGAAGACTCAAATGAGACAACGAAACAACTGATCCATTGGAAGAAGAGCTTTTGAGCTTTTCTCCTGGGCATGTTTGGGATCATCTTTTTCCTTGTACCCATCAACGTTCTTTGCAAGAGCATCGCCATGTACTCTTCTAGCAGGAAATGAAAGACTCTGGGACTGCACAAGCCTCTGATTTCGAGTAACCGGAACAGAACTTCTCAGATTAGGTTTATCCTTTGTCACCTTAATGTTCTTTGCATTTCCATCACTCGGATTACCAGGCTCCTAAACATTGAAATAGACAAATACACAATATATAGAGAAAATAAAGGGAACATCTAAGCTATAAGAAATTACACAAGTGATCAACATCAATAGAACAGCTTGAATGGATGAAACATGGCACCCTTTAAGGTTTTTGAAATTTGACTCTTGGAGACATTTGCAGGAGCTTTACTTGCCTTGCCTTCAGATTTTGTTCCCTGCTGCTTCGGATCTTCCTTCAAATTTGAAGCCTCTTCACCATTATTGTAAGCACTGGGTTCCTCTTTCTTTTCTTCTGCACAGATTCTTCAACATCTGCTTTTCCACTGACAATTATCTCTTCCTCCATTGTTATCCCGTTTTCAGACTCCATTCTACAGTTATGGTAGAAAATTTCCTGCTAAAATTACAAGTCATGGTCATCAGCATCAAGTTAAAACCCGAAGGGTTTTTCTGCAAAAACTCAACAAAATCAATGACATTGCTAAATCAGACTATGAGACTAGAGAATTCAAGCAAGATCTAGCTTTGATGACTGGTCTTTGTACTGAATCTAAATGACATACATGTTTCCTTCTCACATTCTTTCCTAAAAAAACACAAAATCTAGTGAAAATATAACCAAAACACGGAATGAGAATCATCTTACCAATTGAACAAAGATCCAGCTGATATTATACAATTAAACTCTCTTCCCAAAAAAACGAAAACACAACACTGACATAAAAAAACTCACAAAAAATCGAAAAGACGAGAAACCAATGATTATTATTAATTTTTATAAAGAACTTACCTTTCTTTCAAGAGTTTAGACTCAAACAGCTGAAGTGCAGAGCTTGGAGAAAAAAACAAAGGAAGCACTGAATTTGAAAACAAGTTAACAACAAAACAAAAGAAGAAAAAGTAACTTCGAAAGATAAACAAAGAAAGACAAATCCAGAAACTAAAAGCTATAAATCCAAACTGGGTTTTCGATTGAGAGGCTTAAGGACAATCTGTTTCATACAAAGGGGGTGGCTTTCATAATGTTTAGAGAGAGAGAGAGACTGTGTTCTGTGTGTATATTTTGGGTTTAAAGGTCGAGTTTTTCAATGAATTGCCTAGGAAGATTGATGAAATGGAAAGCCAAATGACTGAATTGCCACCAATATGTGGATATTTGGGGTTCCAGATTCTAACTTCATCGAAGAATCATAATGGAGGGAATGAGAGGGAACTTTCGCTGTGCATCGCCTTTAAAAAAAAAGTTAAAAAATATTGTGATCGGTTAAAATTTAGACCGATTATATTATATTATTTAACTGAAAATATTATTAAGT